TAATCATATGCTATAAAGAGTTTTACTTTCCCCTGGCAACTTTTAAGCTGTATAGATGTAATCATTACAGTGAGTGATGACATCAAGCCAGGGTGACATGGTGCAATTGATTTTTACTAAATAATTCTATGATGAGCTGGAAGAAGGAGTTTTATTAGTCTTAACTCAGCGAGGATTGATTGGGGAAAAGAAAATGGCCAATCAGTGCATCAGGTTTCTGTGGGGATAAGAAAATAAGTGACAGCTGCAGAAAAGTCTATAAATCACAGAAAAAATTATGGTAAAAATAAGGGCTGTGAACTGCCCTTTAAAATTTCACTGGATGGCAGAGAAGAGTCTCACAGACCTCAGTCATTTATCTCCATTATGCCTGGGAGCCTCTGGGAATAGCAAAGTTGAAGGATGATACCATTACATTTTTTTTTTTTTATTATTTTTAAATGGAGAGAAGATAAGAAATGGTGTCTTAAGTATTACTTTCAAGTCATTAGAGGACTGAGTCTTCAAAAGAATTCCTTGATTTAGCCAATAAAATAAAGTGTCTTTTGCTTTTGCTTTCTATAGGTAATATATTAAAGATTCACCATTTTGAACCAGATTTGCTTGGTGGCAAATTCTGAAGAAAAAAGTACTGGGAAATGTGGGTTTTTATATTAATCATAGAATTTCAGAGTGGTTTGGACTGGAAGAGACCTTAGAGATCATTTTGTTCCAAACCCCATGGGCAGGCACAACTTCCTCTACCTCAGGTTGCTCCAAACCCCCTCCAACCTGGCCTTGGACACTTCCAGGGATGGGGAGTCCATATTCCAGTCCATATTCTGGTCCTTCAAACCAAAAGAGAGATGGTATTTGCTGCTCTGATGCCAAAGAATATGGGGGAGACCAAAATTAAATCAGCCCTACCCAGGTGCATCAGGAGATGCCAAAGTGTTGGTCAGAGGGAGCTTTTTAGAGCTATTTCTTTGCCTGATCTCTAAATTTGGGCACATAACAGCTTTCCCAGTGGAAGTGTGTTCATATCCCATGGCAATCTCTTTCTGGGAGAGCCTCACAGCTGCCTTTTCTTTCTACCATCCTCCTGGCCACAAATTTCTGTTTCATATAAAACTAGTGCTGAGCTCTTGAGGGTGTTTAGGTGTTGGTGTTCTGGTCTCTGCTGGCACAGTGAGGGCATTTTATGTTCTCCAGGGTGATCCAGGCTGAGGTTCTTTGGCCAGCCAAAGTGAAAGTCCTGGATATAATCCCCTGCCCAACATCTAAACACCCTTAGAGCTCCAGGTGCCCTCATCCTTTCTGATTCTCCAGAGACAAGAGCTTGCAGCAACTGGCCAGTGCTCACACAGGATTTGGGCTTATTTTTGTCTCTTGTCAGAGAGGTAGAAGTTCTCTACTTTTTTATCAGCTCTGAAATCAATCTCTCTCTCTCTAAACATCTCTTTGATGACAGATTTTGTGGCTGTTCCCAGCACAGAAGCTGATTTTCAGTGTCTCAGGCACCGGCAGCAAGTGCCAGTGCTACAACTCCAGGGTATGTTTGTTCCTGTCCCTGTTGGATGTGTTCCTGATCACCTGCTCAGGGAGACATTTTCCCAGGGCAGGGGTGGAGTTTTCCATCCCTGGAGGGATTTAAAAGCCACGTGGAAGTGGCACTTGGGGACAGGGGTTAGTGGTGGCCTTGGCAGTGCTGGGAAATGGTTGGACTCGGTGATCTTAGAGGTCCAACCTAAATCATTCCATGATTCCTCAGGGTTAATATATTTTCTTAACTACTTTAAGAAGGAACCTGTGTATGATCTCAGCCTCAAATGAAAAGGAGGGTCGGGCCCTACTGACAGATTTGCCTATTTATTACGTCCTTGAGGAAAAGATTTATCTCCTGGAACTACCCTAAAAACTATCCCTAAATTGGCAGGTTTTGAGACTTCTTGCAGCACAGTTGGAGGAAACCAGCATTTTCCTAGAAGATCCAGCTGATGTTCTGTAGGAATTACTCCTTCTGCCAGTTAAGACCTTAAGCACAGATACCTTGTGGAATTTTGAGAGAGCCAAGCTCAGGTCAATTTTTATTCAGTAAATGTGTTTTGTGTTTTTTTTTTTTTTTTTTTTTTTAGAGACAAGATTGTTAAGGTTGTTAAGCTCAATCACCCTACCACAGTTATTTAGTAAATTGAATTTCTTGCCTTGTTTGCTACTCATTGAGTTAGTGGATCTCAGCAAGTAGGACTTGCCAGAGGGTTTTGAGAAGTCAGTGATGGACCCTTGAGATGTAAGTTTGTCTATGTGAGGGACATTACAAATAACAACAGCAACGGTAGCACTTGGTTATGTCTATTACATGGAATTTATTTTGTCATCCCAAAGTCTTTGGGGCTTAGATAATATATTAGTTATGCAATGGGGAGGAGAGGGGGTTAGGTACAAATTAATTTAAGTAACGAGTGAAAATAAATGACATTTCAGCTTAGATGTTTGATCACATTAAAGCTGCACTTTGAGGTAATACATAAAATGTCTGTTCAGTCTTCTTCATTCCATGGGGGTGGTTTAACAGCCCAAACCAGCACTTTGGTTCTGGGAGAGGCTGTTCTGAGATTCTGCACAGCCTGAATCCTCCTTGACTTTATACTTTCATCACTGACATGGCAGTTTTGGTATCCTGGGCTCATCCCACAGCGTGGGCAGCAAAGGAGGGGGGGATTCTGCCCCTCTGCCCCCTCAGGTGAGACCCCACCTGCAGAGCTGCCTCCAGCCCTGGGGAACAACAGCACAAGGAGGTGGAGCTGCTGGAGAGAGTCCAGAGGAGGCCACGGAGATGCTCCCAGGGCTGGAGCCCCTCTGCTCTGGAGCCAGGCTGGGAGAGCTGGGGGGGGTTCACCTGGAGAAGAAAAGGATCCAGGGAGACCTTAGAGCCCCTTCCAGAGCCTAAAGGGGCTCCAGGAGAGCTGGAGAGGGACTGGGGACAAAGGATGGAGGGACAGGACAAGTGGGAATGGCAAGTGACTGGGCTAGATGAGTATTGGTAAGAAATCCTTCCCTGTGAGGGTGGTGAGGCCCTGGCCCAGGTTGCCCAGAGAAGCTGTGGCTGCCCCTGGATCCCTGGAAGTGTCCAAGGCCAGGTTGGATGGGGTTTGGAGCCAGCTGGGCTAGTGGAAGGTGTCCCTGACCATGGCAGGGGTTGAAATGAGATGAGCTTTAACGATCCTTCCAACCCAAACTGTTTTATGATCCTGTGAAAATGTCTATCCTTGATCTGAAGCCCTCAGGAATGGAATGTGGCTTTAGGTGCATTGCTCAAAGGAGAAACACTCTTTACTGCTTGAATGTTGCCTTATTTCCAATCTGCATTTTTGTACACTTTGGCTTTCAATTGCCCCACCTCATTAAGCAACTTTGGCAAGACTAAAGAACCTTATTTCTCTGGGTTTTTTTTTCCCTCTCTAAATGTATTTTTAATTCAGAGTCAGTTCTCCCCTTAACCTTCTCTTCAATAAATTAATTTAGCTGACTTGCTTCTCTGTTACTCTGTCCTGGTGGCACATACATATATTAAATAATCTTATCTCCTCACCCAGAGCACACGAGCTCCTGCTAAACTCATACTCTTAAACTCATGGTAAGAAACCAGCCCAGTGTGGAGTGATCCCCCATTCAGAGAGATTTTTGTAATCTGCTCCCTAGCTGGTTGTTAAATAGTTTGTTAAGCAGTAAATAGATTTGTAGAATGTTAATGCTTAAGCTCAGGCATCAATCAGCATTAACATATCCTGGCAAAACTAAGGCTTTCCTGGCCTGGACTAATTTTATTCCTAACTCTTCAGTAGCACTGGATTTACAAGAGCTCCCTGAAAAGAATCTGCAAAGGAATGAGCAAAACGTTCCCTGCCTGGCAGTTGACACTATTAAGTATTGATGAAGAGCACAGTGATTTTTTTTGGGGGGTGTAATAATAAAATTTACCAATTAAAAAGTGACCCAAATCATCAGAAAACTCCATAACATGTTTTGGTATCAGGTTCTTTTATGTAACTGTTGGTCATCAAAAGGAATTTTAGTCCTAATACATATTTTAAAGTATTTCTGTATCTCTTTGTTCATAAATATTTCAGCCAGTTTTCATTTGTTTACTGTCCTATCCTTTAAATTGTTTTTCTGTTGCTTTCTAAAGGCAAAGAGGGATAAAACTTCCCAGGATTTAATGAGTAATAATATATTTTTCCCCAGTGTCACAGGCTCTTTCCCTACCCTCTGCCCTTTGCTTGGGGGGGTATCAGGAATGTATTTTCTTTTCCGTTTCATCTCCATAGTCCTGAGAGTTGGTGGAAATGTTCAAAGGGGCCTCTGTAGTCTGGTGGCAGTCACAAGCCAAACCCTGATGATTTCCACTTTGACTGGGGTGTGATGTAATAAATCTAAAATGCTCATATTTCATTTGCATGCCATTTAAATGGACATATCACTGTTGAATCTCTTCAGGACTCTTTAACCAAATACTTTGGTCTTCCTAAAAATACCTGCTGGAAGAGACTGTGCCAACCCAGCTGCATGGAACATCCTAAATTTAGTGGAAGGTGTTGGAAGGTGGTTGGAACTGGATGGTTTAAGGTCCTGTCCAACCCA